TAAAAAAATATATATATATATATATATATATATATATATATATATATATATATATATATATATATATATATATATATATATATATATATATATAAGAAGTTATGTCGTTGAAATAAAATATTTAAGTGGACATGTAAAATTATAAAAAAAATAAAAAAATTATTTTCGTTCATTGACAATTAATTATAGTTTAGTTGGAGATAGAAGTTAGGAGGGCTACAAATCTTGTAAGATAAAATAAAACGTATACTAGGATGACTTATGGATATTACAATTATAAGATATGTGATAATTAATATAATATTATGATGTGGAGTAGAAGAAAGATTCAAGAAATTTTTTGTTGAAACTAAAATTAATGATTTAAATAAAAATAGTTATTGAGTATATATTACAGGATTTATTATACCGATGCATACTGTTTGGTACGGATGGTATATATCGATTTGACAAGATATCGATACACAAACCACTATTTATCGGGTGGTACTAGTCACTTGATTTTGTATCGAGCGATACGGATTTCGTGAATTCATATCGATTTGTACAGAGCGATAATGGTTAAAATCTGATCGTTACCCACCTGTATCGATCGGCTAGTAACGATCAGATTTTGATCGTTATTGATTAAGAATTGAGATTTTCCTATTTTAAATGGTTAATTTAACTATTTGAGGTTTAAAAAAAAAGTTTTTAAACTCTTTCCTCTTTTCTCTTTTAACTTATGTCACTCTCTCTATCTCTTAAAAGTCTCTCAAACTCTTTTCCACTCATATCCCTCTTATTTTTATATTTTTACTCTCATAAACTCAACAAAACTATGATTTATGGATTGGAATAAATTTATAAAGTTAATTTTGGAGGATTAAGATGAAGAACACTAGACATATATTTTTTTTTTCTAAATTTTTATTGAGTTATAAGATGATTAAGCCACCCAAGATTTTACACATACCACCCAAAATTCATATAAGAGCTTAACAAGGTACTTATCAAGTTTATCAAGTTTATGCATAGAAGGGGAAGGGGAAGCGAATAGATGATTTTGAGTTGAAACGACAGAGGTTACATGACGTAGAGACCAACTGAAGCTTATCATATTCACAACCATTGTAATATGAAGAATTTTACGATCAACAACAGTATGATGATAATTGGTCATACTTCTATAAGCAATAATATGATGATTAATCTTACAATAAGAAGCAAAAGATCAGTAGTGAAAGTAGAAGTTCCGACATTCTTTATACTCCACACTAATACATGTCATATTCATCCTTAGTAGCTGCTTCAGACGCATATGGTTCATGACAATTAAACTATAATTATCACCACATTAATTCACCAATGACATATGGTGTATTAGTATATTATGTTATGAGATTAATTTTAGGATCGGGTTTGACAAACATATCATATTGATATATAGATATATAGGATCAACGACTCCGATACACTTCTTGTGGAGTTCGATTATTCTTTTTGGTGATAGAGCTAGGCATATTTATCAATTGATTACTTAATTTATTTGAATATTAAAAGTTAAGTTATATAAAAAGTAATCTAATAATTTAAATATTTTTTTATAAATAATTTAATATTAATGAAAGGATGATTTCGAATGTACCATAAAACTACTTCTCAAAGTTCAAAAAAGATATATGACATTATTTTTTTTAATTTATATTATTTTTTACTAAATTTATATTTATTTTTATTTTAAAAATAAATAATCTAACTTTTCTATTTTTAAGTATTTTTAGATTTTTTATGATTTTACGTATGCCTAAATTGTACGTAAAATCCTAAATTATACGTATTTCCTAAAATCTTAAATTATACATAGAATTCTAAATCGTATGTAAAATCTTAAATTGTACATAAAATCCTAAATTTTTTTGATGATTTTTAAGTATTTTTATTTTTTTAACTTAAAAATATTAAATTATAAATACATCTCGAAACATATGGAGAAAACTCGGTATATCGATACGAATCGAAGTTGCAAACTTTGATATATTACAATATCATTTCTAGGGATTTTTATGAATTATATATCTATCTGACCCATTTTAATAATTTTAAATTATTAAAAAATTATTATATCATATATGGGAACTCGAACATCAAATATCAAATATACATTTTATTGCACTAATCCTCCCGGATGTCTCCACGTGACATACGCCTGCGACTCAAATACTCGTCGCAGTAAATTGCGTTCGCAGGCGTGGTGTTCTCCAACAAGACCACTTGGTCGGGCGAAACGAATCCAAACCAAAACAACACAACACGAAGGAAGGCTCCCATCGCCTCCCTCTCCCCTCCCCACCTCCCCCTCCCAACCCCCCCCCACCCCCCCCCCCCACCCCCCCAACGTCCCGACCTTGTCCTCCGCCCTAATCTCGTCCAATTTCTAGGGTTAGGATTCCGAGGCCGCCCCTCCGATCTCGGCGACATGTACCAGTGGCGGAAGTTCGAGTTCTTCGAGGAGAAATCCGCCGGCAAGGCGTCGATCCCGAGCGAGATCAGCGGCAACGTCCGGTGCTGCTCGAGCGGGCGGGGCCGGATCGCTGTCGGGTGCGATGACGGCATGGTCGGCCTCCTGGATCGCGGGTTCAAGCTCTCCTACGCCTTCCAAGCCCACGCTGCCTCCGTCCTCTTCATCCAGCAGCTCAAGGTTGGTCGAGAATTCCGCCCTATATCTATTTAAATCACGCCGAATTGGTTGGGTTAATTGAGCGATTAGGGTTCTTATGTTAAGGAGAAAGTGAATTTGGAGTATCTTGATCGGCATTTCTTCGAGATGAAGAAAAAGAAGAATCGCTCTGTTCTCGATGGATTCGTCAGCTGACTAAAAACCTAAATCATGCAAGAAGATGCGATCGGGACCATTATCCTGTCGTCAGGGTTCTTACATTTCGGGAAACACATTATCTAGGAGGACTTAATGGGCTTCAATTCTTGATGTGGTTTAAGGATTGTTGTTGTGTAGGTGCTTCTGGTATATTCCTTCCATACCTTAATTATGTAATGAGTATACGAGACTGGAGCCCGTAAATTTTGTAGCCTTGAGGAAATCTTGATTCAATAGGATACAACTGAGTCTTAGGTTATTGGAGGTCTCTTTCCCCGCTAATCTTTGTTCCATTCTTACCATCTGTATGTTCTTTTACACTGTCATTTACAATAAATAGGGGATTTTATTCTCTGTTACACTTCTACTATGTAACAGCAACGCAACTTCCTGATTACTGTTGGAGAGGATGAGCAGACGACACCCCAGCTATCTCCAATCTGCTTAAAGGTTTTTGATCTTGATAAGATGCAGCCAGAAGGTTCAAGCACAACAAGTCCTATGTGTGTGCAAATATTGCGGATTTTTACCAATCAGTTTCCTGAAGCGAAGGTTTGATGTTCTTTCATCATCCTCTCCTTTTCTTATCTGAAGTGGCTTCATGTCCAGTGTATCTTCTATGGAATTACTGTTGATGGTTCAGTATACGATTCTTTATGTCTAATGCATCAATAATCTCTCACCTCTGCAGATCACGTCATTTTTGGTTCTCGAGGAAGCTCCTCCTATATTACTCATCACCATAGGTTTAGATACCGGTTCCATTTACTGCATCAAGGGTGACATTGCCCGTGAACGTATTACACGCTTCGCCCTTCTGGTAGAGCCTGTTGCAGACAAAAGCCTTGCTTCTATTACTGGGCTCGGTTTTCGAGTGGATGGGAGAGCTCTTCAACTCTTTGCTGTCACTCCTGCTTCTGTTAGTTTGTTTAGCTTGAACGATCAGCCACCGAAGAGGCATACCCTTGATCAGATAGGATGTGATTCCAATGCTGTTACAATGAGTGACCGGCTGGTATGCTAATCTTGAAGTTCTTTTAGTATCTTTTCTCTTGTCATGTATACTTTGGTGTTGTGTTTACTGGTTTCTCTAATTAAATGTTGAGGATCTGACTTTCTCTTGGTTCAATGTTCAGGATCTGATTGTTGGTCGTCCTGAAGCTGTATACTTTTATGAAATTGATGGTCGAGGTCCTTGTTGGGCTTTCGATGGTGAGAAGAAGTTCCTTGGATGGTTTCGTGGATATTTGTTATGTGTTATTGCAGATCAAAGGAGCAATAGGAATATGTTCAATGTCTATGATTTGAAGAACCGGTTGATTGCCCATAGCATGGTAGTCGGGAATGTTTCACACTTGCTGTGTGAATGGGGTTACATTGTGCTAATAATGAGCGACAAAAAGGTTCTTTGCATAGGAGAAAAGGACATGGAAAGCAAGTTGGATATGCTGTTTAAGAAGAATTTGTATACTGTGGCAATAAATCTTGTACAAAGTCAGCAAGCTGATGCTGCAGCTACTGCTGAAGTACTGAGAAAATATGCAGACCATTTATATGGGAAACAAGACTATGATGAGGCTATGTCACAATATATTCATACAATTGGTCATCTGGAGCCTTCATATGTGATCCAGAAATTTCTTGATGCACAACGGATACACAACCTTACTAATTACTTGGAGAAATTGCATGAGAGAGGATTTGCTTCCAAAGACCATACGACTCTTCTATTGAACTGCTATACAAAACTGAAGGATGTAGAAAAACTGAATAAGTTTATCAAGGATGAAGACGGTCGTGGTGAACACAAATTTGATGTGGAAACTGCCATAAGAGTTTGTCGTGCAGCTGGCTATCATGAGCATGCTCTGTATGTTGCTAGGAAAGCTGAGAGACATGAATGGTATCTGAAGCTTTTACTGGAAGACCTTGGCAGTTATGATGAGGCTTTGCTGTATATTTCTAGCCTTGAGCCTGACCAAGTGGGTATTACTGTTAAAGAGTATGGTAAGATCCTTATAGAACACAGGCCAGCTGAAACTGTTGAATTACTTATAAGACTCTGCACTGATGATTGGGAATCAACAAAGAAGAGGATGACCAGTGGGATGCATTTGGTTATGCTTCCCTCTCCGATGGACTTTGTCAAGATATTTGTACATAACCCAAAGTCTCTTATGGAATTTCTAGAGAAGTATATCAGCAAGGTTGGGGACTCAGCTGCTCAAGTGGAAATTCATAACACGCTTTTGGAGCTGTACCTGTCTAATGATTTGAGCTTTCCATCAATTTCACAAGAAATTAGCAACGAAAATCGTGATCCTAAAGTGGGAAGGCCTAAGGGAATGACTAATGGGTCTATGGCAGAGAGCAGGGTTAAAATGAATGCTGAGAATAAAGACCTTAAAAAGGAAAAGGATCATCTTGAAAGACAGCAGAAAGGATTGGCCTTGCTTAAGAATGCATGGACATCTGATATGGAGCAACCTTCGTATGATGCGTTTCTTGCTGTTATCTTATGTCAAATGAATGCATTTAAAGATGGTCTCCTGTTTCTTTATGAGAAAATGGAACTTTATAAAGAAGTAATTGCTTGCTACATGCAGAACCATGATCATGAAGGTTTGATTGCATGTTGCAAGAAGCTTGGGGACTCAACCCAAGGGGGAGATCCATCTCTTTGGGTTGATGTACTGAACTACTTCAGTGAGCTCGGAGAAGATTGCTCCAAAGAAGTAAAGGAGGTGCTGACCTACATTGAAAGAGATGATATTTTGCCTCCCATTGTTGTTCTTCAGACATTGTCTAAGAATCCATGCTTGACCCTTTCTGTCGTCAAAGATTACATTGCTAGGAAGCTTGAACAGGAGTCAAAGCTGATAGAAGATGATCGTAAATCTATTGAGAAGTACCAGGTTAGTATTTCTAAACATAGTTCTAAGTTATTCAGCTTGGTCTTTCAAGTTTTGCGCTAGTATGATGATTTTCAGTGGTTCGGCAAACAAGCGAGTGAAATTTATCACGTAATCAGACCTTGCTTTTCAGATCATGAGTTATTAATTTTGTTTACTGAATACACACACAGGAGGACACTGCTTCAATGAGAAAAGAAATACAGGATCTCCGAACAAACGCAAGAATCTTTCAGCTCAGTAAGTGCACAGCCTGCACTTTCACCCTTGACCTTCCTGCCGTGCATTTTATGTGCATGCACTCGTTTCACCTGCGTTGCCTTGGAGACAATGAGAAGGAATGCCCAGAGTGTGCACCCGAATACAGATCCATCTTAGATACCAAAAGGAACTTAGAGCTAAATGCAAGAGACCAAAATCTGTTTTTCCAGCAGTTAAAGAATTCAAAGGATGGGTTTTCTGTCATTGCAGACTATTTTGGGAAGGGCATAGTGAGCAAAACAAGTCCTGGTCCACCACAAAATCCATGATGGAAGAGTACTTTAAGCATTATCTACATCAGTGTGCCGTTTGTACTGTTTACCGGGATGCTTCTTGAAAGCCTCCTTGAGGTCTTTGGACAATTAAGTTTTATATCATTAGTTTCTCAACCATCGTCTGACTCTTGGTTGCTGCTTTTTCCTGATGATACGAGATTGTCTAAGTATGTTCAGTTCTTCGAGGCCTGATCTTTGCATATTTGTTTACTTAAGCAAAGGATTAATTATTCTGGGTGATGAGAAATACTGAGCAATTGAGCCAGTGTTTCAATTGCTTGCAATCACTCGCTGCAAGAAGGGGAATTTGTATAGCGAGGGCAAAAACCTCTCCCGTGGATTTCTGATGCAATGTGAAGTTTGTAAAATTCTTGTGGTTTTTCTTTGTAACTGAGACGATGAGTTCTCACATCACTGAGTTTTCTTGTAATACTCTTCATCTGTACTTGTCAAAATGTTTCTGACACCAGCTGAGCTTTATGCATTGGTATTTTGCAGCAGTCTAAATTACCTCCTTGGGTTATATGTTTGTTTATATGTTTTATCATGGTACAAATAAGTTAAATTTTTAATCTCAAAAGAGAATGATGTCCGATGAGGCACATTAGAGGGGAGTTATTAAGAATTTCTTTACAAAAATAATCACACTAAAATAAAATTTTATGATATTATCTATCTTTGATGACACCGATATGGTCTATCTTAGATGATAGGTATTGATATGGTGTAGGCGATCAATGATATGTCATGTCCTCTCATGGGATTCGGTTCCACCAAGTTGGTGACATGGCATTGATAAGTTGAATCGCAATCTAGTTAATTTGAAAACACGTGATCTGATGGTTGGAACATGTATACTCATTTTCAATAATTTGTAATAATCTCGATCAAGTAATCAGGATAAAACTAGAAACAAAATGTAACACATAAGGTTTGTATATGTTTATAGCTTTCAATTTTGTTAATTCTTTATACAGTATATAAAAGACTTGCAGTAGGCTAACTTCATTTTGATTAACTTTTATAATCGTTTCAAGCGTGTAACAACATGTTGTATACTTGTTAAGGTAAAACTGCTCAGAAATGAACCATCAAAATAACTATTTTGGGAATTTTCAAGTTTCGTAGAGTGGTGTAGAGTGTCAGCTAGCATAGCACCCATGAACTACCCAAGCGACACATGGTTGGATTGGTCTTTGAGGTAGTGTCTAGGATTGGTTCGCTACCTTGTTTTGTAGCAATGTCATGTATACGCTTGTGGGGACTTTTGATTGTAACGGACCACCTTTAAACCTTTGTAGCATGATCATTCAGAGCTGATGAAGTTTATGTTTATAATTTTATTATTTATCAAGTATTTATTAAAATGATTACTTATAGATCTTGAGTTAAATGCTTTATCTAAATCGTCTTCTTTTTTGTAGTTCCTTAAGGGCTCATAAGAGGTTTTGGGGAGGTTAACCCTTTGTAAACGAACATGTAAGGGTACCGCATGACTTCGGTAAAACCAATTAAGTTCATGATAGATAATATTATAGTGGGACAAGCACACGTAGAAACACTTGGCATACAAACGTGGGGGATCTAGCGAGGCTACGTTGAGAGCAGTCAGCACGCATGACCGTTTGGGGGAAACAAGCATAGAGACGTAAGGAAAGGAGTCGCTCAGAGGAGTATGCATCTAAGATTACCATTCGGATAAATGGCCAACCCTTTGTATAAGAGGCACCTTGAGGACAATCGAGCTAGGAAGACTATGCACTAAGATCGGGATGGTTGAGTTCAAGCTATGACTCGATAGAGGCTACCAAACTTGATAGTGCTCAAGGCAAGTGAGGTATTTAGCAAAGCATGAGACAGTACAAGTTGGGATGGGTTACTCAGCACCCGAAAGAGTTGTGCAAAGCTCACAAAGATGAAAGGAATTGCTAACTCAAAAAATTCGATACTCATATAAGGACTTATATGCGGACAATAGAGTGTCTATGACCATCCCAAGGCAATCGAAACTTAACACTATGGAGTATTGAAACTTTCTCTTTGATATGGGAAGGATGCGTCCATAGGAGATTGAAATGTGTAGTAAGTTCAGCATATTGCTAGGCCTTGAAAGGTACAGCGAGGACTATATTAGCGAAGAGTCATAATCTAATAAGTGTGTTCATGGGAGAGAAATAATACACGATTTATTCAATAAGGCGAAGTAGTCCAAGGGGATAGTGGTCTCCGAAACTTTTAGAAGGAATGATACATAGTGGAAAGTTGCTCCAATGGGACAGATATCCAGGAGAGATAAGTTTTAGTTCTCCAGAGGGAGAATCATATGCAATAGACCACACATGTTGAGGAGGGGTATCTCAAGACAACAACTTCACAAAGCTCAACGGATCAAGCGAGTGGTGATGAGTTATCGCATGATCTCACATAAGGTAATGCATTAGTAGACATATTGCAAGATCAAATGGGGGAGCAACCCAAGGCAATACAAGATGAAGACACACTTAAAGTCGATAAAGAAATTAGACTTAACAGATGGTTGACCCATGGAATGGTGGGTGAGAGGGCCACTATCAACTCAATGCAAACTAAGGAGCGGAGCAACATGGGTGGAACTTGGTGAAGTGCCCAAGCCGCATAAAGGGAGTCGATGTAAAAGATGGAACATGGAGCAGAGGCACAAAGCTTTCCTTGGACAAAGGTCAAGAACATGTACTCTTTGTTAGGAAACATGGACAAAGCATCACATGTGCAGTGGAAAAACAAAAATAAAATAAAATCTCAGATTTCCCAAAGAAAAAGGTTTTTATTATCGTGCGAGGATTAGTGCGCAAAACAAAACGCAAAACCGAAACCGCGCGTATCAAGCGAGATTTGTTACATAGAATAATCGTATATCTTTAAAAAATCTTAAATCTATAGAAATGGATAAAGAATGTCAACTGTCCTCCTCTCTAGGAGTGATCCACACAATAGATGTGGTAAAGACGCTCCTCAAATCACCGTACAATCTTCCTCTCCACGCATACTATGTGATAAAAAATGGTTGACCCTTTTTGCTATCCACACGCCCCAAACTGGGACTATCGATTGAGAATGAGAGGGAGAGAGGAGAATACAAGGTGGTAGTAAAAAATAGTTTAACCTATGCCCGTTTGATTCCCTCATATTTATAGAGGTCTTTATCAACTTAACTCTAATGGATCCTGCCCTATTGGGTATTAGATCTTCATCCAAATACCCAAGCCTCTTGAATTAATGGATCTTTATCCAATAATCTCTTATTGGCTCTTATTAGGTCTCACTCAGAAAATCCAATAATTCAAGGGCTTACTGGATATCCAATAAGATAGGGGCTCCAACAGATATCTTATATATGAACCTTTACTCATCGTAATATCTACCATATGTGTGTGACCCTTTAGACCCAATATCGAGTTGGCCATGTGATTTACTTGAGCAATATCTAGGGACAATATCACTCTAATTGGATTCTCCCGAAGAACTCTTTCTCTCTCAATCCGAATGACCCTAGACAAGGATTTGCTTAAGCAAAAACACATAGGATATTTCTCTCATGATACCGAGAGCGGATGATCATCTATCGACACTCAATTGCCCTCATAAAGTTGGATGCCACTCCCAATGATCAATTGTGCTAGATTTGAAACTTCCAAATCTATAAGTCTGATATCAAATAGTAGAGTACTCATACAGGATATCCTTGGTATCTCAAGTCTAAAGACTAGACACATAACTAGGACCACATAATCACTATTTGATAATAATGTATCATCAATTATTTAGCATTCCATAAGCGGATCAATTAGTGAACTCATTCTCCAATGAGCACTTGTATTGTATCCCTGGTATCCCACACAAGTAGCTATGAGACCAGTCGCCTCTATCATATGGACGAGTATACAACACACTGGTCTATCTGACTATCTCGATTATCTCTTTGAGTAACCTATGACTAGAATTATTTAGAGTCTATATCTAAAAGAGAATTGGTATTATTATCGTGATATCATCATGATCTGATTCTCATTGTACAAATCTAAGGACATCACAATATATGCAACATACAACATAAAATGAGAAAACATCAATAATAGTAATAAGCAAAAAAGACTGTACAGCATGTCATATGTACCATCGCTCACGTGATTGGCTTATAGGACACATATGACTAGCAATCTCTCACTTGACCTAAAGTCAACCACCTATGTTTCTGATCCATATCAGACCCCTGTGAGGCTTAAAAACAATCTAAGACAATAACTTTATTAGTGGATCTGCGATGTTATCTTCGGATGGAACTCTTCCTACTACTACATCTCCACAGGTGACGATCTATCTGATTAAATGGAACCTCCTTAGAACGCGCTTGGACTTCTAATGAGACTGGAGTTCCTTTGTTTGAGCAATCGTCCAGTTATTATCACAATATAAGAGAATCGACTCCTCGCTGCTTGGTACGACTCCCAGATCTGTGATGAACTTCTTCATCCAAAATCCCTCCTTTGTTGCCTCTATCGCAGTAATATACTCCGCCTTTGTGGTCGAGTCAGCGATGATGTCTTTCTTGGAACGCTTTCAGCATATTGCTCCTCTATTCAGGATGAACAATACCTTGAGTTAGACTTGCTATCATCGACATTAGACTGAAAACTTGATTCTATGTAGCCCTCAACCATAAGGCTACTTCCTCCATATACTAGTAAAATATTCCTAGTTCTTCTTAAGTACTAAAGAATACACTTTACTATCTTCTAGTGTTCCAAACCTGGATCCACCTGATATCTGCTCGTAACACTTAGAGCATGCACTATATCAGGCTTGGTATATAGTATAACATATATGATTGATCCTATCACTAAGGCATAAGGTATAAAATCGATGGCCTCGAGGGAAAAGGAATCGGGAGTGGACATAAGTCAGGACGACCAAACCACTATAAATCGGTTTGCATCATTTTCTTGCTTTCTCTTATCATTACTTACTTATTACCCTTACTCACATTTTTAGTTAAACACATTTCCGATATGAGTTTTATCGATCGAAATCTTCAAATCGAAACTTTATTTCGAAAGCACTTATTCACCCCCCTCTTAATGTCTTTGCGATCCTAACAAGTTGGTCAACTTATGACTTATAGTTGAATGGATCTATGTATTCATCCTTCAACAACTTTTGGATTTTTCTTTCGTGGATATGACCGAGCCTACAATGCCACAAGTATGCATTGATGAAAATCATCAACTTAGCAACCATACACCCCGATAGCTAAACAGCTATGATATATATAGAATGCAAATTAACACCCTCCAACGAATTGAAATAAGACGGATCGCTTAAGATTGAAGTATCGGAAACTATTCTAATCACTTTATCAATAAAAAATTGATGAAATAATTAGAACAACACTTTGATTCTATTAAAATGTCAGAAACTACGAAGTTTGATAATTTAAAAGAAAAAACAAAGATTTTTGGGTTTT